GATGGATGATAGAGGATAAATAAATGCTAGAGATGAGGTAGATAGATAGATAGATAGATAGATAGATAGATAGATAGATAGATAGACAGACAGACAGACAGACATAGAGGGAGATGATAGAGGATAAACATATAGATGGTAGAGAGAGATCAGATAGATAGATAGATAGTTCAGACACAACAAGAACTTACAATCATCATCAACACCATGGGCCCCAAGTAGATGATGATGAAGAAGAAGACAATCATGGCCAATGTCAGGATGCCCCTCACCCACCAGTTCTTCCATCTGCAAGAGAGGACGAGTCAAGTTTGAACTCCGGAGAGCTCTGGTTTCTACAGCACAACCAACGACTACAATCCGTCCCTCCTTGTCTGTTTTTTTTTTCTTTTAATGTCTACAAACAATAAAACCGAAAGTCAGGAGATTTTTGTTATCAAATAACTAGCTCGATTTGGAAAGGAAAATAAGGGGGGGTGGGAGGGTGGAAATTCTACCTTTGCCTGCCAGCATCCACCAGTACTCATCTGGCTAGCGTCCTGTCAGTCTGTGAGAGAGTTGAGGGCTGTTTGGAAACTGAAAGAGTATTTGCTGTGTGAGCAAGGAGCCTGGGCATGGCTTAACTCAACTGTTCTGGACTAAAGCTGCTTGGTGCTGTGAAACTGAAACTCCTCTGCTTGTGTTTTGCATTTGGAACAGGTTTCTTTCCAGGTGGGGACGGGGAGTGGAACTCCTTAGGATCAGAGCGTGTTAATAATAATAATATGGGAAATGCTCTAAATGCTCTGATGGTCATTTCGAACAATCCTTTCTTAGTGAGCCCCTAGAAGCCCAGAGGAACCTATGTGCCACATTTCAAGTTTGCAAGCTTTATGGTTCTGGAGATTTTGTGATGATGCGTGAGTGGAATTTCACTTCTAGCACAAGCATCTCCTGCCAGAACACGAGGGTCTCCTGGGGGTCTCCCTGCAAAAGCTCAGGGACTAAATGCTGCTCAAGACAGGAAGGATGGAAGAATCTGAGCGGCTGAGCCCAGCAGATAAACGTGAACCCACCCGGCAAGCAGCCTTTAAATGCAAATTGAACTGTGTTTAAATTTATCTTTAGGTCTTTGTGAATATTTATGAAGACACAGACCTCCTCATAAATGAAGGACACGCAGTCCAAGTTTCCAACCCAGAGAAGGCAGGAGGAGATCGGCAGGTGATCAGCTGAACCTTGGGAAGAGATTCCGACCGGCTTTTCCAAAGTTAGGTAGGGGCATGGCTAGATTACACCCAAACAGCATTTGCTTGGCCTGTGGGTCCTCGACCTGCCATTCCTGGGAATCCCAACATCCGGAGTGGAACTCTGCTGCGAATCCCGGCTTAGGAGGCTCAGCCAATCTCACAGTACACATGTTGTGCACCAACAATAAAGGCTTGAATTGAGAATGTGGGGCACGTATTAAGGAACAAACTTTTTAAGCGATGGGTGTAATAACCAGACAATCCCAAATATACTGAACGACCAATTTGGGGTTCAAATCACCTGAAGTTGCTTGTTTTCCCCCCATGGGAAAACCCCCTCCCCCAACCTGCCTTCACAAAGCCTGGTTTGCTTAATGATGGTTACCAAAGAAACTACAGCTGGCTGTATTTGCAGCATAGAGTAAGCTATAAAGCAAACCGAGCACATTAGTTATTCAAAGCTGGGTTTGATAGCGAGGAGACAAGTTTTCTGCCAATGTCTGAACGAAGCCACTCAGGAGAGCCACCCATCCTGACCTTAAGCCTGTCGTGAAGGGGCAGGAAATGGGTCAGAACTCACCTGGGAGAATTCCTGGAACCCAATGTCACACGGAAAGAGGGGGATGATATTGGCGGTTGTGCTACCGCCATTTTGGCACCAGCTCCTCCTCCGCAGGATGGTCCACCAGGTAAAGTCAATTCATAGTAAACCCCCCTCCTCCCAACGCACAAAGATATTTTGGTATCACAGTTGTCAAAAGAATGACCTGACCGAGGCCATTTTGAGGCTTTGGTGCTTCCACACTGGAGCTGAGGGATAGGTTGGGAGGAATAGAGATAGCTGGGATTTGTAGCCAAAACAAAAAACTTTCTCTTGAGAACCAAGGACATCCCACAGGTGGCAGGAAAGGAGGAGGAGCAATGTTACCAAGCAACCAGACAGGACACTGATTGGACTGTGTGACTGATTTTTTGGGGAAAGGGGAGAAAATTTCATTTTTAATTAGGTGAAAACTGTGTGGATATTCAGAATCGGTTTTCACCAGTCTGTGCCAATACAATATGTCCAATAAACTTGTTCTTTGAGCAACTTACTTGCCTTGGAATTCTGTTTGCTATGGGCGTGTTACTAGGAACCCTGACAATGGTACCTTGAGGACAGGTGGGACAGCGCTCTGTTGAGGACCTCAGGGGTATCGTCGGCTGAAGAGGGAGGGGCGGCCTCCGATTTATTCTCGCTATCCGATGCAGTTTCTCCTCCATCAAGCTTGTTTTCCAGCTCCGACTCCTGCAGGGTAAGACACAGGAAGGGTTTTCCAGCAACTTGGGATGGGCAGCAGAAGCCATTCAAGGCTGCCTGCCAAGTAAAAGTCTATTTGTCCCTAGGCTCTTTAGCTTGCTGGAAATTTTACTAAAGAGCAGGGTAAATAAAAACAAAAATAGGAAAAAATAATGGTCAGGGACAAATTGTTCAAAGGCCAAACAGAACATTTTCATCTCTGAGAGGTGGGCTGGGTGCAAAGCATTAAGAATTATCCTTTTTTTTAAAAAAAAAAAAACCATGATTGCAAATAAATCCCAGCGTGTGTACGGTTTGGATTGCTTTTATGTCATCTTAATTGTAGTTTCATTTTTATTTGTCAATTCCGACTGCACTTGGCCCCAGTTAAGGTCACGTTATAAATAATGTTCGTTTTGTTCTTGCTTCTTTACCATACGAACACACAATCATAAACGTCACATTTTGATTTATACACATTTTTCCTTCGTTTGCCACCAGAGAATCAACCTTAAATATTTCTTAAAACAACAGATGCAGAGAAAGACGAGAAAAACAATAAGTAGAGAGATGGCAGGAATAGTTCGGGCAGGAACTTCCTGTAGTCAGAAACACCAAGCACAACTTTGTGCGGCTTATTTGCTTTGCTCAGGCTGATGTAGGCCTGAGTAGGGCCAGGGGTGCAATTGCAGAGCATCTCCTGGCCGGATGTATTCTGACAGCACTGATAATTATACAGCAACGTGCTTTAAGTGTGAACAGGGGAGACGGAAATCAACAATATAAGCAACCCAGAAATCAAAATGCCAGCTATCCGGCCCTCCTTCCATCTCCTCCTCCGCCAATCCCTGGTCTGTGCAGCTGCCTGGAAAGGCCAGTGAGATGCTCCGTAATGGTCCAACCTGGATGGTTTCCATAGCAACTGCCTCCTGCTCTCGCGCTCTCTCTCATGTACAATGACAGGCCAGATTTCCTTGCGCTCCTTGCAAAAAACTGGGCCGACAGGCAAACACGAAGCAGGGGAGCTTCCTGCACAGCTGGCTCTCCACTTACGACCACAGCTGGTATGGCTAAGGGAGACATTCATGCAGTGAGTTTTGCCCTGCTTAGTGACACTGCGACCATAAAGGAGACGGTTCTCAAGCATTTGAATTTTGAATCAGGTGGCCGGGGAGATGCTACAATGGTCGCAAGTGTGAAAAAGGGCCGTAAGTCACTCCTTTCGGTGCCTTCGATTGTAACTTTGGTCACTAAGCGAACTGTTGCAAGCAGAAGACTACCTGTACTCCCACTACACCTACACCCACCATCCTCCAACCCTAGTAGGCCAAATCAAGCTTGTCCGTATTAGCCGTCATGGCAAGGTAGGATTTTACAAAATGGATTAAAATTGCCTTAAGCACCGAGCTTTGATCAGCAGTTGGCTGGAAGTGAAAGTGATCCAGATGAACCTTTGGCCTCCAACATGAACATATTTATTTACAGATTAACAGAGGTGGAAGGGACCTTGTAGGTCATCTAGTCCAACCCCGCTGCCCAAACGGGAGACCCTACACCATTTCTGGCAGATGGCGGTCCAATCCTTTCTTGGAAGCCTCCAGGGATGAAGCTCCCACAACTTCCGAAGGCAACTTCTGTTCCATGGGTTGATTGTTCTCCCTGTCAGAAAATTTCTCCTTATTTCCAAGTTGAATCTCTCTCCTTGTTCAGTTTCCATCCATTATTCCTTGTCTGGCCTTCAGGTGCCTTGGAAAACAGCTTGACCCCCTCCTCTCTTTGGTAGCCCCTCCAATATTGGAAGGCTGCTCTCCTGTCTCCCCTGGTCCTTCTCTTCACAAGACTAGCCAGGCCCAGTTCCTGCAACTGTTCATCATATGTTTTAGCCTCCAGTCCCCTGACAAACATGTCCAAGTTTGAAGCCATTGATACAGATGTGATATAGGCATGTCCATAATTATAGGTTTATGGGTGAAAGTTCCTGAGAATACCATGGATAACCAAGACCTCGAGATCCTGCAATCGATACATGTTTATGCATTTGAATTTCGATCACATGAGCCTGGAAATCCTGCAGTGGTCGTAAAATAACGGTCAAAAGTCACTTTTTTCAATGTCTTCAGTTATAACTTTGAACAGTGACTAACTGGACTGTTGTAAGTTGTGGACTATCTGTATTTGTCTAAAGGCTAAGCATACCCCAAGACCGAAAGCAGGGCATTCTCAGTCAAATGGGGAGAACCAGAGAAGTGGAATGTCTTTATCTTATCAGAGAGGGGTTTGCGTCAACCTGGGGAGAGGTCGGTCTGATGGCGACCTTTGACAAGAATGACCTAAATATGGACACGCTGGACTCATTCTGGAAAGGGGCACCAAACACAGCCACTGTCAGTTTTGGGAGCCATATTGTACTTAGAAGCTTCCAAATCTTAGTGCCTGGGAATTTGGGAGGGGGTGATTTCATAGAGAGGTGAAAGATTAGAGGCAACAACATTTTCTCATCAAGTCAAGGACAAGTTACCCTGCACCTGGAAAAGGAGTGGGTGGGCGACTTTACGATTTGTGGGCTTCCACTCCCAGAATCCTTCCTCCAGTCAGGTTAGCTCAGGAATTCTGGGAGTTGGAAGTCCACAAGTCTTAAACTTGCCAAGTTGGAAGACCCTTGGTCTGGAGGGATGTCTCCAGTTGGGACGAAGATTTCATTGGGCCGTGGGATGGGCTGGTGGGTGCAGGGGATGAGTCTTTGAATTCTCAATTGGGAAGGGGAAACCCCGGAAATGTGCTGGTATGACTTCCTTAATAAATTCTTACTTGGATGAACTTGGTTTCTGAGCGCTGAATGAAACGGGGAGTTTCACTGGAACGCTGACAACCACATCACAAGGGTCACTCTGCCTGCAATCTTACGGTGTTATCCAATGGTCATCGATGGCCTGGCTCCAAGGCTGGTACCTTTTCCCTCCCATTAATTTCAGGCTTAAAATACTGGAGTGACCTCCCTTCGATTGGCGTTCCTGGGCTGTTAGTCATCGGTCATGCAGCTGCAGAGAACCCAAACCAAGGGCAGGAACGCTTGGTTGAGCCAAGACTTGAAATCCAGGATTCCCCAACCTGCTGTTTTAGGGATACTTGGCATAATTCACCATTTTTTTTTCCAGTATTCAGGCTGCTTCTTCTAGCTGGGAAATCCTTGTGAAGTCCAGCAGCCGGAGTGTGTCGATTATTTAGCCGGAGTGCACCATGAGGCGGTTAAGTCTACGCTGCATCCCATTTAATTCTATTCATAATTTATTGCTCGTCCTGTGTGTTTTTATAATAATTTGCTGGCGTTTTATATTTTTGATGCATGTTTTACATGCTCTTTTGGTGAAGTTTACTCTCTACGGCTGTAACGCCGTACGAAATAATAACTCAACTGCAAATGCCCGCTGTCCTCCTCCAAAAGGCAACGAGAACTTATCGTTTTTAAAGCAATAATGTTATCTGGGAGTTGGCGATACAACCACACAGTACACACGTAACAAGGCAAAACCCAGCAATTCTGGATGCTGTCCCTTAACATCAAGCCACCACAGCACCAACTGGACCTCTCCAGATGGCCCATTTCCACCTATTGATGGATAGCCATTGAGATGTCCTAGTTTGGGAGAAAAATAATAGAGTTGGAAGGGACCTTAGAGGTCTTCTAGTCCAACCCCTTGCTTAAGCAGGAGAGCTTATACCATTTCAGAGAAGTGGCTGTCTAGTCTTTTCTTAAAAACCTCAACTTCTAGAGGGCAGCTATTCTGTCCTTTGATTCAAGTGTTGAATATAAAGACAGACAACTCTACAAATTCTTCCATACAAACTTTCTCTTATTGGATTATATTAGGTATCCTTAAGGTAACTCACAGTTATGTCGAGATGCATCTAATGTCCAATTCTCTGCATAGTTGAAATCATAGTGTAAAAGGATAGTAATCTCTCACCTCACATTTCATCCCATAGTAGTGGAGCCAAAGGAGAAGCGCTAGCACGAAGCTAGGGTCCATTCAGTGACCAATCAGGATTACAGATGTGACCACATGACATGGACTACATTTCCCAGGATACCTTAACTACATTTACCACGATGCATTCCCTTAAGGGGACAGCTCCCAATTCCTAACTAACTCTCCCAATTCCCATTTACTGGCTGGAGAGCACAGAGGCCATTCCGCTGGTTAATTGTTCTCGCTGTCAGAAAGTTTTCTCCTTACTTCTAGGTTCCTTCTCTCCTTGATTGGATTCCACCCCTTGCTTCTTGTCCTGCCTTCAGGGGGCTTTGGAGAATAGCTTGACCCCTTCCTCTTCTTTGGGGCAGCCCCTGAGATATTGAAACATGGCTATCTTGTCACCCTTACTCCATTATTTAGACATACCCAGTTCCTGCAACCGTTCTTCATACGTTTTAGCCTCCAGACCTTCACTGTTCCAGATAAACTTCTGCTATCAAGGTTCTGGGTTGCTAAACCGAGAGGCCAGCAGTGTAAACGGGCCCACAAGCCTCACAAGATCACAAGGTAGCATTGCTTAACAAGTAGTATCAGGTTGAGACACCTCCTCCACATGAGCCCTGAGCTTCCTCTTGTGAATCTATATAAACAGAGGCACAGATTCAAAACCATGTGAAGTGTTAGGACTGCGTTGTAAAGCCTTAGTAAGGCCACACCTGGAATGTTGCGACCAGTTTTGGTCACCATGTTACAACGAAGATGCTGAGACTTTGGGAAAAGTGTGAAGAAGAGCAATTAAGATGATTAAAGACCTGGAGGCTAAACTATATGAAGAATGGCTGCAGGATTTGGGTTTGGCTAACCTAGAGAAGAAGAAAAGAAGAATTTGGGGGACACGACAGGAGTAATCCAGTGTTTGAGGGGCTGCCCCAAAGAAGAGGAAGGGGTCAAGCTATTCTCCAAAGTCCCCTGAAGGCAGGACAAGAAGCAACGGGTGGAAACTAATCAAGGAGAGAAGCAACCTGGAATTAAGGAGAC